AAGTTACAAGGCGGAGTCGCTCCGGCTCTCGTGGACGGAGCTCCAGGCCGCCTACGCGGAGCGCGAGCGCGTCGTCGCGCACGTCAACGGCGCCGCCGAGGAGCTCGGCGGCAAGTGGGTCTACAAGCTGGGATTGCTCCAGGCCTACGCCCAAGAGCACGACGACGCGCGCGTGCCGTCGGCGCACGTGACCGCGTGCGGCGTCCGCCTGGGCCGCTGGCTCGGCGACCAGCGGCGCTTCGCGCGCACGGGGCGCCTCGAGCCGCGGCGGCGCGCCCAGCTCCTGGCGCTCGACGGCGGGATCCTCCTGAGCGACAGCGAGCGGGCCTGGCGCGCGCAGTACGGGCGCCTCGCGGACTTCGTGCGCCGCGAGGGCCACGCGGACGTCCCTCGCAACGCGACGGAGCGCGGCGCGCGCCTCGGGCTCTGGCTGCTCGACCAGCGGAACAGGGCCGACGCGGGGTTGCTGGATCCGGTCCACGCGGAGAAGCTCGACGGCCTCGGCGTGTCCTGGAGCACGCCGCGCGAGGCGCGGTGGGACGCGGCCTACGAGGCGCTCGGGCGCTACGCGGCCGCGCGCGGCGACTGCCGCGTGCCGGCGAACTTCACGACCTTCGACGGCCGCAAGCTCGGCCAGTGGGTCGTCAAGCAGCGAAGGTTGAAGCGCGCGGGGGCCCTCGCGGCGGACCGCGCGGCGCTCCTCGACGCGCTCGGCTTCGCCTGGGCGCCCAACGACCGCGGGGACGCCTACGCCGCGGCCCTCGCGGCCTTCGTCGCGCGCGAGGGCCACACGCGCGTGCCCCGGAAGCATCGCGAGGCCGACCTCGGCCTCGGCGAGTGGCTCGCGAAGCAGCGGCGCAAGCCCGTCGAGGAGCGGCCGCCCGCGCTCCGACGGGTCCTCGAGGGCGCGGGCTGAGGCGCTGTGTTTAGCTGTGGTGTTTTTAGCTGCCGCAACCTTCGCCGCTTGAGATCTGGGGCGACTGGTGTGGCCTATCGTATGGCAGGCCCTATCGACTCGAGCGCTCCAAGACTTCCCTTCGCCGATTTATTGCCATGCCCAGGTCAAAAATATAAGAGCGCATGGCGCGCGCGGCGATTGCTGAGTTGTTCCGCGACGGCCGCTTTGAGATCAGCGAGGTGCGGGCGTGGCTCGAAACCGCTCCACTCGACACGTTGGATGACGCAGATCACTGTGCGCTTTTTGAGTTTCTACGTCACAAGTATGTTTTCATATCTAATCGAAGTGTCGAGCTTCGTGCTGACAAACGTGAGAAAAGGAAAGAGATGATTCGACTGCTGCTTTCTCATGGAGTGAACGCAAACGCATGTGGGCATCTTGGCCGGCCTCTATCCTTCTGCGCGACCCCCGCGGAGGCCGCCCTCCTGCTTGACGCCGGGGCTCGGATCGACGCCGAGACGCAAATTCAATATGCTTGGTACTCCCCCTTATTTCAGAATACTCAGACGGTGCTCTCTGAGGTCCTCAGGAGAACGCGGTGGCACTCGGCTCCCGCCATCGATCTTGTGCGTTCTTTTGATCTCGTGCGCTTCTTCGTAAGCCGCGGCGCTGACTTCGACGCCCCCAACTCCCAAGGTGTTTCACCAGCACGATTAGCTCACCAGAAGTTAAACGGCACCAATCGTATCATCCAGGACCGGCAGGAGGCGAATCCAGAGCATCGTGTCGATCATTTATGCCAAGTCGCGCAGCTCTTCGACGACGTTCGCGACGCGGGCGGCTGCTGGGCAGCGTACGTGCGCGCGCCGCGCATCGGCCTCGTGCGGCTTCGTGCACTCTGCATCCACGGCCGCGCAGCGCCGCCGGCG